TTATAAACACTTTGAAAGAACAGACAACAATGAAAGGAAAACCCCTGCTACAGCAGGCCCATTCTTCATTGCAAGACTTTAAAAGGCCCAAGAAATATAAAGACGTGATGGGCTTCATGTATCCTCATTTTAGTGGGATTTTCATTTTCCCTGTCACATTTTAACAAACACATTGCAAAACAGAGTTGAAACCATTCTGTTAGATGTGTGCGGTTGAACTACAGACAGAAACGATGGAGACTGATCGATGGGAGGAATTAAGTCAGGTTCTACCTTAGGTCAATAACTGATTTGTAGAAAAATCATGCACCTTAGCCTCAGAATCTCTTCCTGATTGCCCTTTGTATGATGCCGGCCTGATGTGAGCATTAAAAAGAATAGCCGCCCCTATTTAGATAAGTAATGCTTTGTCACTGAAAAAGCTGCTGAATATCTTCAGACATACATTCACTTTAAGAGCCAGTCCATGTGTTACTATTAGTCTAATTCTGCAGTCTTCTCACATGGCCTGAAGCACATCTGGGTAGACATTTGTTCTGACAGGAAAGGATGCCTGCATCCCTCATCAAAGTGCCTAGGTGTGATGTCAAACTCTAACTCCTGATGCCACCTGCCTGCTAAAACAGACCAGGCAAGCAGCAGGTGACAGCTCAAGCTGGTGACCTCCTGCCATCTCTGAGACCTGGGTCCAGTTCCCAGTTCTTGGATGCAGTCTAGTGCTGCTGTGGCCATTGTAGGAATCGGGGGAGTGAACCAGTGGATGGCTTTGCTTTCTCTCAAAGAAATAACGTTTAAAAAAAGAAAACAAATACTGCAGCATAATCTTCGAGTGATGCCCACTAGTTCCAACATCAGCTTTGGAATCTATTTGGTGATGTAAGATCATTGCCCGCCAGGAGCCTCTGAGTACTCTGTTCGATCAAGGGACAATATCAGGAATATCAAACTCCTTTTACTTATACAGGAGTACCCCCATGTTTGCAGAAATGTAATTAAGAAATAAGTTGGATTTGGTAGTAAAGTTAAAATCCACGCTTCTAAAGAGTCTTCGAAGAGTTCCTGGAAAATGTGAACGCTGACAACACTATTCACGCATTTCAAAAATTGTGGAACAAAAACAAACCTACCTTTGGATTCCATCACTCCACAAATGTTTTTTTTTAAGTACCCTTATGTGTGAATTAGACGAACTGCTATTTGAAAAGTACTTACTTGCTCAGTACTTCACGCATACATTCATGTTTTCTGCTCATCAAGTATTACTACTATGGCAGTGACCTCACTTTTGAAATCACAAATGCCTAGTCTACTTAGCAGTATGTTGTTGTACACAGAACTTTGATCCGCTGTCCAGGGTTAAGCACAGCTTGCATCAAATGTTTGAGAACCCATGCCAGAAGGCAGAGAAGCATGGAGTGCAAGGCAGTCAGGCTCTGCAACTTCTGAGACTCGATGCTTAAGTGTATTGCACCACCCATCCTCCTTCTGTGGCATAACCCCTTGCCTACCACCTTTCTGGTGCTTTGCGGCAGCAGATCACAGTGCCAGTGTTTAGCTCAGAATCAACGGAGCATCTGTTCCTCCAGATGAATCACCCACCATGACTACAGTGTTGATTCTTCTGGCAGTTTCAAATTACCAACAAGTTGCAGCTCTTGGGATATTTCTGTAGCAATTTCCAGAGATACTAAAGAGCCAATGAATTTGAAGTATTACTCAAGACCCCAGCTGCGTTCTCTGGTACTATATCCCATGTCCTCTTGGAAAAACCCCAAGCACAGGTATGGGACATTTAATGAAACACCAGTTTGTCAAGCCTATTTTTTTTCCCATTGGGGATGGTCTCTAAAGCAAAAAAGAACACTTAAATAAGATGTAACCAGCCAGGTAGTCATCATGAGGTTAACTAACTTACATGCTGCATCCAAACCAATGTCTGCCATCATATGTCTCTACATTGACAAGGCCAACTGAAATATGTTTCATGGGCAAACTTTATGATTCACCAACCCCTAGAAGGGTATTCTTTGTTTTAAGGGTTATACTCTTTCATTACACTTATTACCCTGTAAAGTGGAAATGATTCAGCAAGAATATTGGGTAAGCCCTCACATAACTAGATATTGATGACAAGAAATGTCTCATTACAAATATGTAGGGAGATGTTATATCTTCCTTACATGGCCAGGACCAGTGATCAGTAATGGATTTGATATTCTAACCTGTGGATAAAAGTAGCCATTTGGACATCCTCTGTTTTGATGTTTCTACCACTGCCAGCCCATATCTGGGTATATCAACAAAAACATCTATCTGGATCAGAGTTGCTCCTCCCCAGAGGAGTTACAGACATGACAGAGTTGACCAGTAACAGTACATACTAATGTTATATGAGAATTTGATTTAGAGCTGGGCGATTCTCTGGCATCCTTCATATGGGACCTGATTTGTGTCCCTACCTGAAGTTATTCTTAGGGGAAACGATCCCTGGTCACAGGATGCCTGCATTCTAAATTGGACGTGAATGATTCATTCACGTGTATTATGTTCAGGTTCAAGAAATCTGCCTAGTGAGTGGCTTAATCCCCCACACTAGATACAGAGAAAAAAGTCAGAGAATGATCAAATGAGTAGCTTATTGGAAAACTGTGCAATCTAGGCTCTTGAATCCTGGCTTTCTTTGTAAGATCTCCTATTTTCTTGATGTTCCTAACCCATGCTTCATTTTGATAATCATTAAAAAAAAATTCTGATGTAAGTGTACTTTAAAGGTTCAAGGAAAATTGAACTGATAATTGTGTTTTTCTTGGTGCAAGAATTTTTGAAATGCATGCATAAGGCTTTCATACCATACAATTCTAGCAGACCCCTTATCTACTTCTGCAGGGGAAATATTCTGGCTGCAAGCGTGTCCCTTCTCATGATCTAATTACCACTGATGTTTAGAAGATTTCTTGCATCACTGCTACTAAGAAGATTCTTCTTTTGCTTTTGTTCCTGCAGTTTGCAATAGGAAACCAAGCTTTTTAAATTTTCTAAATGAATGATCATATCACAATACTGCACATATCACAAGTAAGCATTAAATGCTTTTCATTAACAACCTCCCACTGAGAATGATTGTAGAACCATGCGTAGTTCTGCTATTGGCCCATTTGTGTAACTTTAATTAGGCAAAATTAAAAAAAATTAATAGCCTTCAACTTAAAAAGAGAAACACTGCATTGCAACTGTTTATGTACGCAACATATTATACTTTTAAAATTGGGATTGACAGAGACTGGCACTGCCAAAAAGCCCAAAGATATTCTTCCTTAGTTCCAGTGCTGAATGGTTTTTGGTTGACTTACTTATACCTCTGCATCTAGGAACATTATTGCCTTCTAGATTTCTCTGAGGTTCTGAGAGCAACCTGAATTGGTCATTTCTTGGCCTGAAATATAGCAGCCATCAAGTGGAAACCACAGTGGTGAAGGTCGCACACCCTGGAGAAAAGTTTCTGATACTTCTCTATATTTCATATACTGCCATACGCTTGAGCATGGCAAGCTCACCCACATCTAAACACTTTAAAACTTGACTTCAGATTTAACAGTGATGGGCCCGTTTTTCTCCAAGTCTTATATTCGTAAGTGCATACCCCCTTTAGCATACATGATAAAGCGTAACAGTTGGTGCTCCCATGCATCATCACACACAGATCAGCAGATTTTTTTCACATGCTAACTTTGGATCCGTCCATGTCTTTCGGATTATAAATTCATACTACAATTATATCATTCATTTTTATTTAAAGCTAAATACTGTGACGACATTCTCTTAGGGACAGCTTTTTGGTACAAATCTGATCACTAAAAATTGCACAATAGAGAGTTCATACATTGCACGCTTCTGATAGAATAAAAAATAATTTTTTTAATTTCATTTGCTCCGTTTGATGCTGACATGGGTCTCAATGGAAGAGCAGAATATCTCAAAGAAATTTCAAGAGTGCTGAACGCCATTAAATTTCTCTGTAGATTATGTAAGAAATAGGATGTGTATAAATTGGCAGTGTATAAGATGAACACATATGTAAGAACCACTACTTGTGGCTGCTGTATTCAAACTTTCTTCAGATCAGTGGTACGACCAGAGCTCTGCGACATCACATGGCTGGTGTCAGGAAAGCTTATGATCTTGTGAATTTGTTTCTCCCCTCCATCCCAAATACAGCTATTATGATCGGAAAAGAAAAAGGAGCTGGTGATAAGTGCTACTAACATCAGCATTTAGGAATCTTAAATTCCTTAATTCAAAATAAGACCACAGAGATCAGTATTTATAAAGTGTCATTATATTCATAAATCTACAATGCCATCCTAGGATAAATTTCAAATAGGTTTCTGAATAAAACGTTCTAATTATTTATTTTTATAAAGGGGAGTAAGGATTAGAAAGAAATGCAGCAGGGGTCTGTTTTCATGAATTGGATTGTAATTTGCCAGGCCGGTTACCTACAACAACTGTACCTGGGTAACTCAGAGCACGGGACAGTTATACAACGCCAGCAAGTGAGAAAATGCTGGTCTTAAGACTGCATTCAGTCTTCAAAATCGATTTGGAAATTGAATGTAACACTCATAGATTTTTATCATTGTGACCCTAATGCAAATTAAATGAGAAACATTGCCACAGTCTCCTTTTGCAACTTGCAGAGTTCTGTGTCTTCTCTCCCTCCCCTCATCCAGACACGCTTGGGACCAAAATCCCCTCACCGGCCGTGTTCATGTACCCAGAGCCAGCCTACCTAATTTGGCCTGCCCTATCCGCATGGGTCTTAGGGAACTCTGCCAGCCCACAAATGTCCCTTTCACAGAAAACCTCTATTGACTTGTACCCAGCAACCATCTATATAAACACGCTTTCATATTGATCTTGTAAGTTATGGTAACGCTACATTAGCATTTATTTCTCTGGATACATATTTAAACAGTCATTTCTTTCAAGCTAGTGATTACCTGGCAATGCTGAATCAGTCTGAAAAGAGTATCTCTGGGGCAGTGTCAGACAATCTGGCAAGAGTCCCCCTCTGCTCAGTGAGCATTTCTCACAGCCTCAGGCTCCTGGATGATTATCTCAGACCTCAAAGAAAGGAGACAGACACAGTTCACATCAGAGGAGTCGGCTGCACAGACATTAGCTGGTGGGCAATCCAGAGGGAGATGTGTGGCAGAACCACCCTGTCTACGATGCTTGGGGAGGGGGGGGGGGAGACTGAACTGGACCGGCTAGGGAATGGAACCTTTAAACCCTCACACGCTTTAATGTTCTCCAGATTTAAGTCAAAACTTGAGGATTCTGCGCTTTCCTAAGAAATCTGGAAATAATTGAATAACTTAGCGCAACAGCTATTGACCTGAGGGGCTGTTTTGGGGGAGGAAAATTATCTGTAGGTTGATTTTTTTTTTTTTTAAGATCGTCAGAGACAGATATCCTTCGTTTGTTTTTGAAAGGCCAGATGTTGACTTCTGGGAGCGTTCCCTGCGAAGCCACAGAGCCACAGTCAACGCACAACAGACTGGCCGGTGTTTCTGTGGAAGCCACGCTCTGTTTCCTAAGATTTGCAAAAGCCAAATGCTCCATTTCCTAGGAAGACAGATTTTTTTTTCCTCTAAAGGACCTTGTCTAACTGCACCTCTTCTACATGGATGTATGCTTGAGGATCTCATCATCTTCTATATTTAGAGAGATGAGCTTTCCAAGGGAAGACGGGCAGCCAATAAGGAGAATCCCATCCAGAGAGGTGAGTTACTATGGTTACTTTTGAGAGAGAACGGCTGCCCCGCTGCCGGCCAAATGGACCCTTGCCAGGGGACGGGGCTAAAGAGAATGTGACCCCCATACGTGTTGATTCAATTAGTAGCAAAGACACTTTGGTATCGTAGGTTTGGCCGCCAACGCTCTGCGGGGTCTTTGCTTTGCTCTCCAGCTCTCCCAGCCTGCACACAGGCAGGGAAAACGAGAAGGATTAAAAACTTCAGAGAATTCCCCACTAACCGCGGGTTAGGAGGGGAGTCCCGTAAGAATCAATCTTCAGATTTCTGAATACTCAAATCAGTCTTGGGACCAGCAGCTGGCCTCTGTTTAAAGGCTGGAGCCGGGTGAGGGGTAGCCAGCAGAGCGGAATCCTGGAGCCCTTCCCTGTTCCCCGTGATGAGACCAGTTTTATAGCTGAGTTCAGAGGCGGCCACCTGGCTGCAAAGGGTCCAGACTTACCTTGCCAGCCGGGTCCACTCACCAGGAGACCGCTCGAGCACTTGCGGAGAGGCGCGGGGTTAGTTGCTCGCCGCTGGTGTTGCGGCGCTGTCACCCCTCAGAAGGGCGCTTGACAGCGACAGCAACGCCGACGAACTCAGCGGCAATTGCAGCTCAGCGCGGGCAGCCCTGGATCCTGCAGGTCCGTCCCTCGGTCTCTGAAGCGCCTCTCGATCAGGGTTCGGAACGCGAGGCGGGCGCGCAGCTCTGCTCCGCGCGCATTGGACCAGAGGGAGCAGATGTTACGCGGTTGCTAGGAGCGTTGCTAGGCGGCGATGACGCCCCTCCTCAGCTCCACCAGCAACTTTCCTGCAGGTCGGCTGTGCTGGCGGGGGCTGCTGCGGCGGACCAGGTGGAGGGAGCAGGAATGCAGAACAAAGAACCCCATCCATCAGGGATTCTCGGCTGCGGTCCCCAAGTTGTTGGGTTGGGGATCCGCAGTGGGTGAAAGGCCCAGGCCCAGGGCCGGGGTCACTCGCTGCTGGCCTTACAGACATCCCTTGGAGGTCGGATTTGGGGACCACAGGGGACTGACACTTGCAGAACTCAGTTGGACTCTCATCTTGGAGTTGGGGCCTGGGAAGGGAAGAGGACGTGACCTGGGTGAGGTGGCTACACAGTATGCAATCTTCTGCTTCTTGGACTCCCTTACTCAACGTGTTCCTGTCTGTGTCTGTAGGTTTGTGTGGTTGGTGGCCTATGAAGAGGCAAATATTAACTAATGCATGAAAACAATCCCGGATTCTAATTCTCCTTGGTGCCACCTGTGTGTGCTGAAGATTTCAGAAAAAGATTTCCGTCGCGCAAAATGTCCTTTAGACAGCAAGCTTTCGTTTTGATCCAATGGCTGATGCAAACCTCAGGCTAAAGTGATAACTTCCTTAAAAACTTAAACTAATGAGGCTTTCTACCAGAAAGAATGAAGAAGGTTGGCATGTTCCAGCCATGTACATTTTAGTCTAAATTTACCAAAACGTCTATATTAGCCCTGATATCTCACTCAAGCTCTGTGTTAACTTTCTCTTAACCATTGCCAGTTGTTGGGGTGGGGTAGCGGCCATGATTACAACATCAAGGTGGGCAAACTTGAGTTTGAGTCAAAGAGCCAAGGTAACGAAGAGGAAATAAAAACCCAGCAGTAATTTTCTCCAAGGCTATCTGCAGACACTGAAAGACAGCAATAATTGTTTCTCTGATAGAATCAGGCTGGGTCAGGATGGAAGACAACACCTCTGGGAAACTTCAAAAGGGAAAGGTTTCTGTGTTTGGAAGCAGAGCAGGTCTGCATGTATTGTTGATGGCTGTGGCGGCAGGCAATCCGTGGGGTGCAAAAGACAACACCAAGTGGCCTTTGGTGCCTGTTCCCTACCCATGGTAAGAGACTACACAGTGTGTTCTGTTCGCCGTCAGGTTTAAAAAGCTGATAAACACTCCCAGGCCAGAGTGGGCTTGGAGAGGCAGTGATAACAGTTCCAGCCCTGAGGGACGGCAGCAGGTTTCAGACGGGCACAGCACCCAGCAGGAGGAAGCCACAGCCAGAGCCACACTCCTGCTTCTTCCTTCTCGTTTGTGGCGAGGAAGAGGTGCCAACATCTCCATGAGCCCTGCCTTCTTGCCCTGTTCACTCATGGGGCTTCACACTCTGCTTTTCAAAGCCAAGCCACCACGGGCCTGCTTCTCAACCCCCATGGATGTCCTGGGCATGCTGTTTCTGCTTTTCCATGTGCCTCCCTTTCACCTGGCCTTCTCATCCTCTGCCTTCAAGCTTCAGCTCAGGTATCAATTCCTCACAATAGCTTCCCCTGACAGCACCCCGAAATCACATAAGCACCCCCATTTCTCAGTATGTGGCACACCAGACTGCAGACTCCTTCTGCCTCCTTAGTGCCGTGTCCTCTGTGTCTGGCTCAGGGTACCTGGTCCATTGCAGTTGACCAACGGCATGTGGGAATAGCCTGACCACCCTGGCTGAGGTCCCTTTCTCACTTTAGCTTTGTAGCAATGAATAAGCGGACTTACACACCACGAGGGACAACCACTAGTTGCTGTCTTTGTAATTATTCAAGTAGGAGATGGGGTTTGACGAGAAGGTTATTACACAGAAAATAGGAGTTTTTCCTTAATGACACACTGTGTGCAAACAGGAATCTATAAAGGTCACCCTCGCATTTCAATAGCATTAGAAAATACTCAACCTTAAAATCATTTATATCGTTTCTTAACTGCCTTCTCTCCGTGTCTTCCATTGTGGGTGTGAATCCACTGAGCTGAACTGCTTCATTCCCCTTTGAAACACTCTTCTATCTAAGGTAAAGCAACTTCCAGAATCATGTATGATGAAACTAGCTCAAACACTTCATGAGACATGAGACCAAAAAATGTTCATTTTGGTGTAATTTTTTTTTTAAATTCAAGCACAGTGTTTTCATAATGTCCATTTTCCGTGAATTATGCAAAAAACCCTCCCAGATCTCTATGAATCCAAAAAGGAAAAGAGGATGAGGGGGACCAGAGGAAGAGGAGGAGGTTGACAAGAAATCAGCTTTTAGAGGAGCAGCCAGTTAACTAGATTGTGTACATGGACAGCGCACTGTATGTGAACAGACCAGGGAATCTTTTCTGCTGTCAATCTACTTCTGAAATAATTGCCAAATCCCATCTTCATCTGGAACCACCTCAAGAAATATAAACAGATGTTGGAGACATGAAGAAAAGGTCAGTGTCACCTCAAGATCACAGAATCGCTGGATTGAATGACTGGAGCTAAAACAGTGACAAGAGTTAATGAGCTATTTATGTTTGTAGATTTAATGATATAAATTCTCCAGGGCTTTTGGTAAATGATTAGAACAAATGATTCCACTTAACAATTGGGGATTTTAAATATTTAAATACTGAGAGTGGCATTTAATCAGATAAGTTCTTAGGTTCAAGTCCTGATTCCTGCTTCCGATTCCAGCCTCCTGTTAATATAACCCGTGAGGGCTCCGGTGCCACCCATATGGGGGAGCCATCCTTGGCTTCTGGGCTTCCAGCTTCAGCCTGCCCCTGCACTGGCTGTTGCAGTCACTCTTAAGTGAAGGTGAAAGCAGGTGACTTGTTTTTGTCGTACAGTTTGGGCAGACATGAAGACTGATAACCGAATTTTACCCCCTAAAACCTGTCATTTGATTCCTGTGTCTTGTCTTCGCTGCTATTTGCATGGTAAACATATTGGTTCCTTTAGAGATGACAAAGTCACAAAAACAGCCTTCGAGAAATGAACTTTTCTGATATAGGTTCATTCACTGATATTTAGGGTTATTATAGCGGGTGTCATTGCTTCAATCAACTATATAAAAATGGTGATATAGACTGTCCTTGGAACATGTGTAGAATCTTTTTCTTTCCCTTTTTTGTTTGGAGGGTATCGGTCATGCTTTGATCACTATAAAATCATCTGGCTATTACAGCCCAATGCTACTTCTACTGTGATGCTCCAGAGCCTTATAAACGTAAAGGCAAAGTAGCTCTGGGTGAGACTCCTGGGGGCAAACGGCCTATGTGTTTGTACATGAACACCTATGTGTTTGTACATGCATGAACACCTATGTGTTGCTACGTGAACACCTATGCTATCTCTGAATACTCTTCAGGGTGGCTAATTTGAATGATGTTTGCCATTACTCAACCTCTGATCTACCTGATATTCCTGTTTTCAGTTCAACACATTAAACTCTCTTGCATTTGAGTTGACGTGTTGATTTGTGTATGTGCTCTCCATAAAAGCCCATATCACCTTGAAACTAAATTATATGGGTCATAAATGAAATGCTTAGAATCCTCATAGATGTGTCTGCAGTTGGCTCAGTTTTGAAATTAATGGTTTCTGTATGTACTAAAATTAGCAATATCATCCGGGCCCATAAAATTTGCATGTTGA